TAATAAAAGGTCTTTGAGTCGCGTGACGTGAAAATGTTCAACGAAAAAAGCTGCTAGATTATTACTTTATCAGAGCAATAGTCTTTTCAGATAACTGCTGTGATTAGAGATAGAATGGAAAAGATTTATACGCGATTCGAAAAAAAAAGTCACAGAATATTATTGCAGTATTATAGAATTCTTTAATAAAAAGGAAGAAAGAATTATGAACCTTCCGAATATTTTATAGAATATAAATTTCACGGTACAATAGTTGTCTCTCTAAAATATCAATTTCCAAAAAACTTTCTAGGAATATTTCTTATATATATTTAATTCTTCTTAAAGAAGAAAATAAATGTTACAAAATGTTTTCTTCGATGAGTGGAACGAAATATTTCTTCATTTTTGATTCTGTTGATTTGATTCTAAAAATTTCACGACCAAAGCTAATTATCAGTAGAATTTTTTTGAATTCGTCGATCGACTGGTACATCTAGTTTGTATTAATCATAGTGTTTCCACAAGCTTTAGGTGTATTACAGGCTATTACAACAGCAACGTCGCTTTTGTTCGATTCATGCAGCGTACAATGGTGAATACTCTTTGCCAGGCTGCATTGTAAGACTTTCTGAAAACCTTAATACATGAATGTAGTCCATCGAACTTTTGAAATGGAACAAGAGGGAGACCTCGAAGTTTACCTAGGTAAATGTGCAACTAATTGACCCGATTAGCGTTATTCCTACGTTCTATTCATTCATTGGTATCTCGTGGGATGATCTGGTATCTGATTCTTTTAAAATTACTTCCAGGTTACGATATATCGAAATATAAGACTTGAAAATTTATGAAATATTCGAAGTATTCGATCAGATATCTGATTGATATCAACAGAAGGTAATATCATTTTTTCGCCGTTAATTAATGCGACATACACATGCATATGCATGTGTATTGAATAAGTTTTGAAAACTGCTAATGGAAATACCACGTCTTAATTCTGAACATAACACGTCCCACGTGCAGTAGTTGAAAGAATTTTGTCTTTCACGTGAATTATTCATATAACTTTAAAGTTAATTAGTTATGACAAAAAACTTAAATTTGAAGATATTTCGACGTGTTTTTAACGAAACGAATGTTTCAACCTGAACTTACCAAATATTCTCCGCACGATTTAATTTCCTAAATCATAGTACAATTCGTAAATAGGGCTTTTCTATTTAACAAAAGAAATCACGTTAAATTATTCATAATTTCAATCGTAAAACCATCCATTTGAGCCATATGCGTATTTCCATCTATTTTAAAATAATATATTTGAGTTAAATGACTTAACATAACTTTCTTATACATTCTCAATGCAATCTAATCTTTTAAGCCTCAACAAATCTCTAACTACTAAACGCAAAAATACGACTTTTCATTTCAAGCTTGAACCACATTCATTATTCCATATATTACATAATCATAAACCTGATCAAAAATATATCCGATACAATTGTAGGACATAATATCAAAATCTTAATTATTAAATAGTGAAAATTTCGATCTTTTATTCGATCAGAAACAGATTTACCTTTAAGTTACATTAAATTATTCGAAACTTTAATTTCAAAAGCATTTACTTAAAACATATTTATCACTCCGTTCTGTTTACGTTTTCTAACAAATTTTTCTAACAAACTTTATTTTATAAGACACATATGGTCCCAATGAACCAACGGATTTATAATAAAATAACTAGAAAATAAAAGCAGTAAAAAGAATTTAATTTATACGAAATATGCACTAGTGCCCTACTATTTATAATGTAATTCTATTTATTACGTAACAAACGTAAAAATATAACCTATAACCATCAGCCAAAAATCGAAGAATTCTTCAGAATGATCTTTCAAACGACGTTTCTCGAAATTCTCTCGTTCGACCTATCTTAACCTAGTTTCTTCTGACTGCATCAGCTGACGCCTATCGGTAAAACTCTTTTCACATTCGACAGTTGTTCCTGAAGAAGCACGTTGTAAACAGGGATCGGTGCACAGCTGAGAGGGGAACGAGCGGATTGGCGCGAAGACGACGAATACGAGACGGAGAATGCACGACAGGAATTATCGACGCGCGCGGCTCGAGTATACCGCTATACCAACTGTACGATCAAGGTCGCGAGCGAGGGTCTTCCGCTGTGTACATTTAGGCAGTCGATGGAAATGCTTAAAGATACCGTTATTCCACATTAATGTCGAAAATCACTCTTCTATCTAATCAATAAAAGAATACCTTACAACAGGCTCCAGCGAGAAAAAGACACTCAAATTCATTGAACACTCGAAAGCATCGACGTTGCCCTTATCTACATTTTGATCACCTCTTATACAATCATTTTTTAACACTCAAACTATAGAATTTGTTATGTATACTTACATATTCTATACAGATAATTATAATTAGAACGATACAATGAAAATAAATAGTTATATGAACAAGAGACAAAATTAATTTGGTTAAAAATATCTGTTTTTACTAAATATACAATAAAGAAGTCTGGTATTTGTAACATTGATAGGTTTGATACTCTAGTATTAAAGAATAGTGACGGAAGGGACACGCGTATTTGGAAAGTCTGTCAGGAAAGGGCAGCATCGATAACGATCCGCGTCTCGAGCAGCGCGCCTCTGATAATCGAGTTTCTGTCAGTCCGCTGTCAAATATTCGTCGGTCAGTTGGAGTAGCAAATGTCACGCAATATCCTAAACGTGGATTTTCGGGTAAGTTTATACGACATATACAGCGTAAGGTGCTAATTAACCTAAAATAAGGAACGAAGGAATCAAGGGTCATTTGTAAAGAGTAAGGAGTTCATGCTCAATCGACACGTAGAACATAAGATTTGTGAATGTGTGACGGGGAATTTTTCATGGAATTCCGTGAACATGATGAGGACACGGGAGAAAGCGAGATGGAGGAACCGCGTGCTTAGTCGCGCCGACGCATCGTTTACAGCTCACTCACCTACGAATCGTCCGCCTATCAGCGCGGCCAAAGTTGGACTAAAATGCAGCTTCAGGTGCTCGATAGGTTCTCCGTGCCTCTTGATTAGTGTCTCTCGTACTTAAGTCCGTCGATGCTTGCCGATCGTCTCGAGTTAACGTTCACTGTCTTCTCTTCGTAGAAACGTCACCTCCGTTTCCTTGTCGAGCTGGTCTCGTGAGCGCAGCTCCGAGCGAAAACCCGCCAAGAGGTTCGGGTATTTCGTCGCATTCGTGCACGAACAGTAACTGACGGCCTTGTCATCGAGGCGATCAGTACGGCACCTGAGCGCGCGTACGCTCCAGCGAGCCGACTCGCGCGTTGACCAATGAGAGCACGATGTGAAGAATGCCGCGCATGTGCACGATATTCACAGAATGGCGGCAGCTTTCGAACTTCTCGTTTATTGAACGTTCGTGTTTAACTATTCGAACTTATTGCAAAAAGAAATTAATCAATATTATCATGGATGGAAGTTGCATAAATGCTTGCTACTTAAATTCTGTATTATTATTTTTATTGTTAGATGAAAATTGTTTAGTTCAATAACAGGATGGTATGTAGTGTTACTTTGGAAGATGTTGATAATCATTGATAAAGATAATGAGATATAGCTCTAGTAGATTAGTTAGTAGGTTTTCGTGTTTCTCTTTTATGGAAATTGACTATTTAATATTTAGAGGATGTCATGAGTAGAAATTTACCGCAATATATCTTTTTTAAATTGAAATATTGATAAAATTAAACAAATGAAATTACGCGTTTTATTAACATTCAATCATTATTAAAAAATTGGCTTGGGATGAAATTTCATCCATGATAACCTTCAAGCATTAATTTGTGCAATAACAATTTTCGACAGTTTATCGATAATCCTCGTTTTTTGCGTTTAATTTAATTATAATATGTACGTATCTCTGTAAATAAACTCTCTTGGTATAAAGTATAGATTATTATAAATGTACGTATTTAAATTTGTAACATTTGTTTTTAATGACGTATTCTGTATATATGTTTAATTGGTATATTGCATAGCAATGCAAATTATTTGAATAAAGGAATGAATTTCAAGAATAAATGTGTTTTAATACCAATATATATATATATATATATATATATATATGCTATTTATTTATAATTAATAATGCAGCAGATTGCATTTAGAGAATAATTTGCATGTAATAAGTTTATTAATCCCTCCCTCATGAGCACAGATAAAATATATCATAGATCTAAAACCCAATGTATTTTTGCTGCATGATCTCAGAACTTGAGAACCATATTACCACTCTACTATCATTTCCAACGTTATCAATTCAGCATAGAAAGAGATGCTAACGCTACCAATGGTTAGAACTGAAATCAAACATAGAAAAGCTACTTGTGCATCAAAATATACTATCCACAACGCAACATCCCTTATTTCATAAATCTAGCAACAGATTCTTCTACGTTTATTAAATTTATCATCTGCGGCAGTCGCGTTAAATATAATCTATAAATTTATAATTACAAATTATAGGGAACATAAGAAATTTGATGACCTTTCCAAGCTTATTTTAAATTTCACGTGATGAAAAATGATATATCAGATACGCTTTATCTCGTTTATGACGTAAATTTTGACGATTACTCGTACTTCGCAGCCAGATGGCAGTTGCTGTCTGTCTTATTCTTTCTAATTGACCATGATATGAATTACGATTGTGCGATATGTATAAAAAATTTTTTACATTGTATCTATTTTAACAAGATACAGAATATAAAATCTATTTCTAAATGTCTATTCAATGAATTGAATTTATATTTATTATTAATTTAAATTGCAACGTCAATTAACTGGACCGCAATTCTTTTGTTTGTTATTTTCCCACCTCAATGATGGTTTGATCATCTCTTACGAAGTAATGAGTACATTTTCAATTCAACTGTTTCCAAAGCGATCTGTTAATCTCTCCTTTGGACCTGTCTTTCTGTCGTAAATATTCATGAAAATGTATTGCTGTGTACGTGGCACGTTTCACTGTCAGTATATCAATGGAGTTCAGTTTAATAAATTAAAAACGAAATATAGAACTGACGAGGATATAGTCGTACATTACACGATACAAGATAGAGTGAGTGAAGGTTTATCGATCGTTTCCACGGGCAATTAATTTCTCGCTGCATAGTACATTATTACGGTAATCAAATTTTTAAGATTCATACGTCAACACGTGATTGGATTGGAATTTTTCCAAGAGGATGGAGCAATCTACAACAATACCTTACCTTCGAATACATTATTCTATCACCTAAGACGGCGACCTTGACCAATCGCAGTATCATGTTTTTACATACTTTTCATCGAGAGGTTATTAAATATTGCAAATAAGAATACTGGTAGAAATTCAATAATTCTCATTATTTCAACATAATTTAAAAAATAAGGATTTATTTACATCTATATTAATTAGTAGGTTACGCGGATATTTATGCAAATTCAAATTTTTGTTTCGATTTCTAAATTTTATAATGGATGCTTCTTCTTCAATATTTATGCACATTATAATATGCAACTGTACATTTTTGTACATTTAAATTTCCTATAAATATGTAAATATCCATAGTCTACTAATTGGAAAATGCAAAGGTATGGTAACTCGCTAGAAATCTTAAGAAGTTATTCCAAATTATCATTAATATCCATATTTTGGTAAAAATAATTTTAGTAACAAATAAACTTTCGACTTATCCTTATTTGCTTTTGATTTAATAAACATTGTTATCTTGATAATCGTTAATTTACTAAACCTTTAAATTAATTAAATCCTTGTAATTTGCATTTTATTAATACCACCCTAACGATTAATAATCTTATCAGTTCTCCATTTTTGCTAATTTTATTTAAAATTCTACACAGGCATTACCAAACGTCGATTACCAGTTCGTTTACGTGAGCAAAGAAATAGAAATCCTGGGCACCAGCTCATATTTCCGTTTCATCGTCATCCCGAATCTTCGTGCCATCGATCGAAACTCAAATACGTCGGATGTAAGTCGCATGCTGTAATGGCAAATTCGCAATTTCCGCTCGGTTGGTGGAGACGCATCCCATTGCTAAGAATCGAACGGAATTTTCAGCGTGGCGTCGACAACGTTCATGACGCGCATGATGGTCATCCGCCATTGATCGTGTCACCGACAACAAGCAACGTGGGGAAAATACTTAGATCTAGCAAATCGATCGACAACTTTCTCGAATCTCATCGAACGTGTCGGTCGTTTGCCGAACACAGCCAGAGAACGTGTCGATTCTGTTCGAAATCGGTGTCGTTTACAACAAACAGGGTGAGACAATGGTCACTGTTTATACCTTTGTTTCTGACGTCGTTTCATTTAGTATTATCATTTCGTTAAATCCCGTTATTCAAGAGAAATAGGACAAGACATTGATCACACTTTAAATCTTCGTTTCTCAAATTCTTTTATTTGGTATTTTTATTCTGTTAAATTCATATCATTAACAATGATCGTATTTTGAACGTTCATTTCTTAAATTCTCTGATTTAGCATTTTTATTTTATTACCTATACTTGGTACGTAATTGCATCAAAATATAATGCATCTCGAGGTTTAGTTTCGTTGAAAATTGAACAAATATACACTGAGAATTATACAGCTAGAAATACTGAAACAATTCGATATAGGAAATTGAAATTTTGACAAGGTTTCGGTTCTCGAAGCTGAGTTAATGGAATCGTAATCGTCAGAACAATGTTTCGACATTACCAGGTTCAGTTTCTGATGTTGCATAATGAGCAGCTAGTAGCAAGGATGGGCCGTCTGACACGCGATTTGGAGTTAACGGAAGCGGCTGTAAAAAGTGAAAAAATGGCACAGGCAGTGTTGACAAGGAGGTTGCAGGCTTACGAGACGTTCGTCGCGGATATGTTCAAGTGCTTAAATCTGAGAGGAACCGTGAGAATCCTGGATAAAACGGGTCAAGAGGTGTTAATCTAATACTTAATCCTTTTTCACTTTGTATTCATTTTTTCGTTGCTTCTATTTCGATTCAATTAATCGAAAATGATATGTTAAAGCAATTGAACAAGTATAATATAACAACAAGTATAATATAATTGAACAAGTATAATATAATATCGAATAACGCGACGGTGACTGGCGCCATTAATCTCATTTCTTCTTCATTAGAATGTAAAACAGATTAAGTGATAAACCGTGTAGAGTTCTATCAAGTGGAGAATGTTAAATTATTGGTGCAGTTAATACAACTAAATCATTTGCGAGCAACACTTTCATTCATCTTCTTATTAAAGTGAACAAATAATGGTTATTACCGATTCAGATCATCGTACAAAAAGTAAAACCAAAGAACTCACCACCGATGCGCGACGAGACAGGTGACAAACCTGTCCCTATTCTGGAAGTCTCAATGTTGAATCAATCTTCTGAACTTAAAGAGTGCAACGATGGTTCAACGACGAACATAAATGAGATGGAGAGAGTTCCTCGAGTATCGGTAAGATTTATTTCATACAAAATATTGTTACAAAATTACGAGAAATTAATATGAAAAATTCTTAACGATAGAATCAGAAAATAATTATACATATAAAATAATAATTTTCGTAGAATTTATGCGAAACAGAGGAGAACGAAGAACGCGTAACTCCCAAATATTTCAAAGACGATGGATTCTCTGTGAAAAAAGAACTGAATGAGAACGAGAAAAATTTTGAAATTACTTTATCCGTGGAAGAGGGACAGCCTCAGTTCGATAAGGAAATCTTGATATCGGAGGCACCGATTAACAAGGATCGTGAGGAACAATGGTAAGGAAAGGGTTGAACCGCAGATTGCAAATCCAGCAGCGTGTTATTTAATAATTCCAGCGGTTCTTACGTAACGAAAGAGGCCACGGGCACAACAAACCAACGAGGAGATGAAATATGCACAGTCAACTGTAAGATCGAACAGCCTAACGGTGTCGAGGACAAATCGGAAGACGGACAAAATATTGTCTATGACGATAAGAAAATTGTGAAAGAGCTCGATTCCTTGATAACCGGAGATTCTTCAAAATGCTGTTGTGACTGTCATTTGAACATGTCAAAAACGTGTAGCTCGAACAAGAGGTTTGATAAGGGTAATGTAAATGGTATGGTATATGAGTAATGTTTATTATACGTATATTGACAATGATATTGTATGAATTTTCATTTTATTGATTTGTCTTTTTAAAGAATGGGCGCTTCAATGTGAATGTGACTTGAAAGTGTCGGATGGGATGTATCAGATGATTGATAATTACGCGGAGAACCAGTGCACTACGAGGGAAGCGATGAAGAGTGGTTTGTCCGCGATTCTGATTAAGGGTAGAAATACGAAATTTGCTGTTATCAAGTAATGTTTCTATATTAATTAACATGCGAATCTTTCAATTGCTGAATTTTAAGTGTCAAGCTTCAAGTTTAAAATTTCATAGTCTCAAATTTTCACAAAGTGGTCCATCTAACTTTACTACCTGCAATATCTCGCTTGTTCTTGATAATATTAAAAGGTATTTGAGATATAAGTCGAATGATTTAAAGGTTCAAAAATGGTTCAAAAAATTAATATTGTCAAAAACAAACGAGATATTCTAGATGATAAGAGTAGATGGGCTATCATGTATAAACGAATTCTTACGAATTATTTTTCACTGGTTTTTAAATACGAAATTAAAAATTTCACGTATCATATTGTAAGTTAAGTAGGAGAATTCTAAGTACGATGCATTGAAAAGTAATGCGAATACATAAGAACGTTTTCAAGGTGAATTATAAAGATTTGTGTTTAAGTAATACGGTTTCGTTAGAACAGATTTATTATATAGAGTATAATACAAAACATTACAAAAAGTAGATGTAGTCTATGAATGTAACAATTAATGACGATCATCCTCGGGATTAAACGTTTTATTATTTACATCGATAGCGCCAGCTAAATCATTGCTTGAAGCAAGACAAATTAAGACGACAACGATGATAGATATCGCAAGACTGATCTCGCTGTTGAGAATCCATTCGATTTTGTACGTTAATACCTGCAACATGTATTTACGGCTGTGATTCATGCTATGATGCGTTTGTTTTCTTATAATATAAGGGCTTTTCTTTCGTGTGTTGTTGTAAATCCACTGAAAAATATTTTGGGAATTCGGTATATATTATATATATATAATATATATATATATATATATATATATATATATATATATATATATATATATATATATATATATATATATATATATATATATATATATATATATATATATATATATATATATATATATATATATATATATATATATATATATATATATATATATATATATATATATATATATATATATATATATATATATATATATATATATATATATATATATATATATATATATATATATATATATATATATATATATATATATATATATATATATATATATATATATATATATATATATATATATATATATATATATATATATATATATATATATATATATATATATATATATATATATATATATATATATATATATATATATATATATATATATATATATATATATATATATATATATATATATATATATATATATATATATATATATATATATATATATATATTATATATATATAATATATACCGAATTCCCAAAATATTTTTCAGTGGATTTACAACAACACACGAAAGAAAAGCCCTTATATTATAAGAAAACAAACGCATCATAGCATGAATCACAGCCGTAAATACATGTTGCAGGTATTAACGTACAAAATCGAATGGATTCTCAACAGCGAGATCAGTCTTGCGATATCTATCATCGTTGTCGTCTTAATTTGTCTTGCTTCAAGCAATGATTTAGCTGGCGCTATCGATGTAAATAATAAAACGTTTAATCCCGAGGATGATCGTCATTAATTGTTACATTCATAGACTACATCTACTTTTTGTAATGTTTTGTATTATACTCTATATAATAAATCTGTTCTAACGAAACCGTATTACTTAAACACAAATCTTTATAATTCACCTTGAAAACGTTCTTATGTATTCGCATTACTTTTCAATGCATCGTACTTCAAACTATCTTTAGATAAAACGCTTATTAGAAAGAAAAAAAAAACGATAAACATGCGTAGAGTTAGACAAGATAACAATTCCAAGCTAGTACTCTATTTCGTAATCTTCCAACGCTATTGTTTTCGTTGCAATTGTCAATGAAACGAGTTTAATATATTTCAGGATTATTTGCAGCTTGACTTTTTTTATAGTATCTTAACGCTAATGTGACAGGAAAATGTGCAGGAAGTTGAGGCGCTTCTGTCGACGAGCACGTGTACCTCTACGTCGAAACGTTTGAAAAACTGACTAAATATAGAATAGGAGCGGCGCTATTGTTAGGTTCAACACGTTTTCGTATCTTCGAGTTTCTCCTTCGACTCCGCTCTCGTACGGTCGTCATGGGACTTTCAGTGGATTTACGACGCCAGGAAATTCGCCAAACGTAAGTACCACCAAGCTTATTGTAATACGCATTTCCGTATTTTCAGTAAAATTAGAAATAATTTTGTTTGGCATTCATTATTTTGTTTATTTCTTTGACAGCTGTTTACATAAACGATTATCGACGTCACACAGGAATTGAAGTGAGCAAAATATTGAATAATAATTGTTTATGTGGCTTTCTGGATGGTTAGGATGATGTAATTTATAATATAATATCGATCATTTTTGTTCACTGGTTCGAACATTAAATTACAGAAATTTTTATATAAATATAGATATTTGTTAACAATATATTAATAAGCGATTACAAATAATTTTGACGTAGATAGACCGACATAATTTCTAGTAGATATTTCTAGTCTTATAGACAATTTCTTTTCACGGGTTTCAACACTGAACGATAAAAACTTGATACTTATATTAATATTTGATATATTCCGGTACATAATTGAAACTTCACATAAATATCAAAGTATACTCTCAACGACGAATCGTCGCTATTAATATATCAATGCGCAATTACTAACAATGTTGGAAACGTTAATATATCAATAAGAAAGCAACAGAAAATTCTTATCGGTTTCTTATCAAAGCATATACTCACGAAGAACGAATCTCTACTAAAAAGCAACTATGTATCGATTTTTCCGCTCATCGTAAACGATACATTAGCAGCTACCAAACTGGTAAAAGTTCGAACAACCGATTAAATATATCAACAAGAAAGCAACAGCCACTTCCGAAACCCACATTTCCGTCTCACTGAAAAAGAAAAAAAAGAGAATACAAAAACCTATGCTAACAAATACCTCATTTCTACGAAACACCGTTCTTCGAGACCAGATGGGTCATCTAAGCGAATTTAATGGCGTTTCACGGGCCAAAAAACCGATCACCGCAGAGATCCAGGAAGTTTACTGAAGCTAAAGCTTTCTAGATCAGAAGACTAGCGTCACACGGAAGTGGCAATCGCGCGTGCGCGACAACCGAAGCGAACGCTTGGACGTTCTCGCGCACGCGGTCTTTCGAAACAGTATTTTTAGAGAAGTGAGTCGCTGGCCGCAAGCGGCGACGGTAGTCAAGTGTCGCCGTTGACCCTAAGGAAATCGAACCCTGCGAACCATCCACGATTCGGATGATCACCGGTGAGTCCACTCGTGACAACCTAAATCATCCTAAAAATCGTCCGATCTGCGGAAACTACAACCGAGTGACATGTTCGTCTCGCGTCCGCTATTTGAATTTCCTCTCGATACTATTTCACGTTTCGCAATTTCCTTCGACTTTCACGCAACACTCCCTCGTGATTGTACCATGTAAACGCGTGGACGTTTTTAAATTATACTCGATAGATTGGATGAGGCACGTCGGACCGTTCTTATGGATCTAAATTTGGATCGCGTGCCGAACCGCTCCGTACATCTATTTATGATGTATTTATGGCATCGGACTTGCGACTCGTGTTCACGTTTGTTTCGACCCGTGTTCTGTCTCTGTTGATCGTTTCTGCGGCAATTGCACCGGATTGTCTGTGATTTGTTCTCTTTTTCCTACTTATTTCTTGGCAGAATCGAATAATTTGAGAAATATGATAACATTTTGAACAAAGTGGACATTGCTTGGCTTCCTTCTGGTTTTAAGAGCAAATTCTCCGATGAGTTAGATATTTGATGTGGCCAGAGTAAATTTGTTTAATAATAGTACTATTGAGTTGTTTTATTAGCTGAAGCGTTAGTATTGGAAGGTTTGAAGAATTGGATTGGCGCAGTTTCTGTTCTTCGTTTGTTATGTTCGTATCTATTTGTATATTCGCATAAGTTTTCATTGCGCGTCCCTTTAATTGCAATAATCTACGTGTAACATATTTATTGTAGTACATTGCAAGTTAATAGCTGTGTAATGGTGGAGAGTTGAAAAAATTAGATTGGTTGCCTCTTTGTTTTCGTTAGTTCCGTTGGAAAATGCGCGGCGCTTTTCGATCGTAGATCGAGTTATATTTAAGTCATATTTACATCGCGCCTCGTATCGCGAGGGAAGACTCGGCGGCACGCGAGTCATAAAGCTTGTTCGAGGATTCGCTGCCGTAAAAGAAGTAGCTTTGATCTCCAGTAGGAAGGAAAAAATGGAATCTCAAGCATCGAAAGAAACAGGAGAGAAATTCCGTTCTCTGATTCATTTGTTTTTATTCGAAACAACTACATTTTTACAAATTTCCTTCTTTTCGTGCTTCGTTGTTGCTCGTTTTGTTAAGGAAGACTAACGGTAGATTTTAAACTAAAAGATCTAGACAGATATGTCTTCTAAAAATACGAGCTGACCCGGTCTGACTTTTTTCTTCTGTGCCAACTCGCTCACTCTACGGAGCTAATCGAGAGTTGGTATATTAGTGGCAACTAAAAGAATAGATTCGTTTATCTTCATATAGTCTTCGTGTTTCGTAACTCCACGGGGAGTAAAACTGATAACGTTATCGGAAAATTAGCGTCATTTATAGTAAATGATAACAGCTGTGAAACAGCTTTCACAGAAACAGAATGTTAAAATTTAGTAAAGAGAAGCATTAAAAAATTCTCATTTGACAAATTACAGAATCGTGGACTGAACAAGTAGAATCCCTCGTTCGCGAAAATCCAGAATTCTCAACAATTAGAAGCACCGACAGACATCGAGAAAATAATTCTACGAGAAATAATATTTAGGATTCTATCGACTTAAAACTCTCTAAACTGCATGCTGTCATTCGAAGATCCTAGAATAATAAAGACTGAAAAATCATAGAATCGTTTGATAAACTCCAATGGAATTAATAAACGAAGATAAGACTGCAATTAATAAAATGTACAAACC